CTTTGAATAAAAAATAATCCTTTGCTGATGACAATATTCCAGTTTTACAGAATAAGTCATTTGGCTGTGCCCCTCCCCTCAAGGCTACATGCTAGCTGTGTCCGAGAAAAAAACCACACCTCTCTCATGACGACTCTATGAATGCCAGTCATCTGAGTGAGAATCGTCTCCAGTAGACGAGTAGCAGCTGGAGAGCTGAGTGTAAAGGACATCACTTCAAGAAGTGCCTCTTCGAGTACAGTGAATGCTGTAGAGAGCTGAAAGAATAAGAGCTTTTGAGGTGGAAAATTGCAGCGTTAATAGTCCTAAACAGTGCAAAAAAAATCCCGCGTGGGTGGAGTTCCTAAAGCAGTTGCCCGCTTCTCAGTGGTGAGTTGATTGATAAGAAGAAGAGACACCAAGACACCAATAAAGAATGCTAGCGATCTCTCACCTCAGCTGCCAGCGGTACTAATTCACTTTTCACTGTGGAGGATGCTTTCATTTTCGAATCCTTAGACAATAGCTGAAATACACCATTGAGTCACTATTTGAAAGCACATTCTGCGATAACTAGATGGGCGGAGAGCCACCACGCTTCTTTACTGACCCCTCTTTACCGCTTTGAGGGACATTGAAGCGAAAGGCTTATTAGTAGCTCCCACTCCGTAATGACAAACGCGGAATGTAGCTCTCACTATATTTGGCAAAAGGGTCCATAGGAACGGTGTGGAGCGTTACGTCCCAGGGGAGGAGGGGCGAGGGAGGGGGCGCGGGGGCGTGGGTGTGCTTGCAAGGCGAGCGCGAGTAACCTACATTCGCACTAGGACCTATCATTCAAACGTACGCGATGTTTCGCGTTGTGTGACTCTCTGATTCTTTTCTTCAAGTAAAGCTTGTCTCTATGCGCGACTGTTTTCTATTAGGAAGACGGCAAGAGAATCGTAACTTTCGCTCCGCCGCGCGCGGGATGCGCGCGGCGTTTTCCTTAACGTCGTATTAATCTGCTGTCATGGAACACCGGCTCATCATCATGTAAACCTCGTCATCCTAGACAATCATGACTATTTTCGGTTCTGAATTGCCTGTTGTCGCCGTCTACTACCTGGAACCATCGTCAACCGGCGCGACGTCGCACGCGACGCCTCCGGCGCGGTGAATTACGATTCTCTTGTCCATTCCGATCTAACAACCTGGCTTTGAAAATACTCTGTGTGTCTGCACGATTTTCGCCGCCTTGTAAACAAGGCTCACCCCTGCCCCGCCCCCTCCCCCCGCGAACGATTTCTGCCTCAGCTGACTGATAAGCACACTGGGAAGAGGTATTGGGGGAGAAATCCAACCACTTTCACTCATCCATCCTCCTACTCCTCATCGTATCCGCGGGAAGACAGTGAGGAAGGCACAATGATTGGGAGTTTCCGCCCACACTACTAGTGCCTGGCTCCGAGGAAATTTAGCGACGGCATCGTGGGTGGAGAAATAGGCGAACACTTAGAACATTGTGGCTTCTCCTTAAATGACCCGTCCTTTTTGCCCAGTAAAATCTAGGATTTCCTCATCAGCGTGACAGGCACCATGGCATGGTATCTCCGCCCACGTGATCAACATGGACTGAATCTTTGTGATACACTGGACGCACCAGTGATATGGCAATGTCTCTAATAACGGTATAAAGTCTGCCCATAAATAGAAGGCTTGTGGGGGAGGGGATTTGTCAAAATACCAGGACCTGCTTGTGTTACCCAACGCAATAGAGAGAGAGGGTTTTTTATAATGATAATGTCTATGGAGTAAGCCTGGACGAAGCTAGCGTCAGTGCACAATAAGTAAAAGAAGGAGTAATTTCACCCACTTGACCTACTTTGGCTATACTTTCACGGGCTAGTTGTATATTACGTTTAGATGTCCGCATCGTTTGATCGTTTAAGGATGTCTTCTTGTCCAAAAAGTTTAGCGTTTCATAGAGAACGGTGAGATCTTTGAGTTTTTGAAGAATCTGCAAATGAAGTAGTTACTATCGGAACCGTTCAAAGGTACAGTCCACGCTGAACGTTTGGGCGGAGACAGAACACAATTGTGCATTCTTCATTGATGCGCCCATGCCCTTCTAATATGGTGCAGATGATGAGGATGTCAGTCAGGAGGCAATATGGTTGACTGTCTCCGCCCATAGGGCCAGTGTGACTATGCCTTCAGATAACGAGGATGTAATCACTTAATATGTTCGGACCTAATGACGGGAAATTCTGGCGCTCACCGGGTCAATATGCTGTTGCATGAAGTTCTGATGCTTCATGACTAGTATATTTTCGTCTTTAATTCGTTTTTCCAAGTCATCTAACATCATTTGGAACTGAAAAAGGGAAAAATAAACAAATAAATAGAAAATTTTGCGAATGCTCATACCTAAATAGTTAGCACAGTGCAATAAATAGCAAGCACTAGTAGAAATAGCAATAAATAGCATAAAAGAACGCAACAATCAAAATTGGGATCCGTTGTAAAGCGAATTTAATGACACAGTCCACGATTTGCTGACATCGAGAACCCATTCCTTGCGCTGGCTGGCACGGACCATGATCGTGCGGAACCATCCACCATTGTAGCGGCTCAAAGGTATCTGGTGAGAATGGCAGTATTTGTCCCGATAGGGAGTCTCCGCCCATATAGACCAGTCTCTGCAATACTGCTTAATCGCGGTAGCTGTACGGAGCTGCTTTTGCGCCAGTTTGTGCAATCTCTTGGCAACTTGTCGTGTGCATCTACTTTGCAAGCTCAGTGTCTCCCCGTGTGCTCGCACAGAACTGGCAGGGGTCTTATTTCGGGTATTTTATTCGGTTTTTTGCCTAACGCTTCACTAGCGATTCCACAGCCGCACACATTTTTCCTTCCGAGTCCCACTGCTCGCGATTTCCAACTGCTGGCTGTGCACTAAGTGAACGAGCTATCCCTACAGAAATACGTGTG